TCAAAATCCCTTTATTCTACGTGTCTCATTTAAAATCTGGCCAAAAATCAAACATTCACACCAGATTCTGTACAAAAAAATTAAAAAATGAAATAAAGAATTGCAGATAAAATCCAGTAAAATCACCAAATACAGTATTAATTTAAATGATGGCTGTTGAAGAAATCCAACATCCACATCCAGAAATATGCATTTTTACTGATATGAATGTGTTCTTTTCTGCGAGGTTTATGGCCAGACTTCTACACTTTTTTTTTTTTTTACAGTGCAGTTTATATTTCCTTCCGGTTTTCACTGACAACTTTCATACTTTGAACGGTTTGCTCGTGAAACAGGCATTACATTCTGGTATTTGACAGGTCGATGATGGTTCATATCGGCTAAAATCGAAACTCAAACTCAAAACAGAAGCATGAAATTCACAATTTAAACATATGTTGTTGTTTTTTTCCCCAGCATTATTTAAATTAAAAGCATTAATTTAAAATGCCATAACCAAGCTGCTGCGAACATCAAGTGTCAGGGTTGAAAATGGTTTTATCAGAAGTTTTATCGGTTCATTGATTATTGATTTAGCCAAAAATGTATAGAATGCAAATGAAAACCACCAACAAACGTGCTGCATGTGACTAGAAAGGTGAGCAAAGAGTGAAATCTAGACATTTACGAGTGACTTTCCAGGTTAAAGTCTGCGTTTATGTCACTAAAATGTTGTGGCTTTTTCTGTCAGACGAGCTGCTGCACTCTGTCGCCACAACTTCAACTGTCGTGAACAGATCGAGCAGCGATAAGTGTTATCTGGAGGACGTGCGCTGCTCTGGAGCTCCATTCCCACAGCGGTCGGAGCATCCACCCAACACAACGCCTCGGGCCGCGCACACACTGACACACACACACACTGATACGCACAGATCTGAACAGACAGCAGCATTCGATCCACAGGGAGTCACATGTTGTGTATGGCTGCAGCGTTATATAACCGTGCTAGTCCACAATGACCTGTTACTAATTAACGACCACCGCATCAGGAACAGGCCGAACCATCATCACCACCCAATTAAATGCATGGCTGCGAGATACAACAATTATTGATTAATTTAAACCTCATAAACACTGTTTTGGTGAGCTGTGCTCATGAAACTATGTTGGTAACGACACCAACTGAATATTCTGTAGAATCTGAACTCAATATAACTTGTTGGTTGAAGATGTTTAACTTAAACAGATCGATGCAAACTGCTGTAGCTTTTATTTTACCGTATTTTTACAGTGTGCTCAATTATTTTCTTTTAATTTATTTAAGAATAAAATTGATGATGTGATTAGTTTGGGTCCATATGACCAAATTTTAAATCACTGTTCTGTAAATGTGGTGAAAAAAAAGCAGCATGTGTTTAGTTTTATGTCAACAACTCCGCTGTCTGTCTGTAATAATTTTTTTTCTTTGGGTTGATCATATTTAATTACATGGAAGGAATATGTTTAAATTATAAATTTCATGCTGCTGTTTTCAAGTTTACATATTAATTTCAGCAGATTTTAACCATCATCCATAAAGGTGGCAGCAAAATATGTAAAAACAAAAAACAAACAAACAAAAAAAAAAAAAAACGGTGAAATTATGTTAAATATCTGTAAAATAATAATATTTTAAATACAATAAAACTGTGAAAATTTAAGGCTGAACACTAAAAAAAGCAACAACAAAAAAACCCTACTATTAAATATAAAAAATATTAAAATACAGATTTTTTTGTTGTGATAATTATTCAGATTTATTTATTTTTTTTTTTTTTTTACAGTCAAATACATTCATACTTTTTTCTGTGATTTTACGGGTCATTATGTGTGATTTAACAAGGCAGGAAAAATCTGTAAAATAACAATTTAAATTACTATCAATCCTTAACATACAGACATTATCTGTGAAACAATCACAAATATCTCTAAAACATTATTTTTGCAGATTTAAATATAGTAAAATAGTGTATTTGTAAAAAAAAAAAAAAAAAAAAGTAAAATATTAACAACGACAACAATAATTTTTAAGGTTTTTTTCATAAATGACCATTTGTAAAAACAGATTTGCGACATCATCAACAGATTTGGTCTGTAGAACAATAAGATGTAAAACTGCATATTTGTGTTGTGGACATGATTCATATTTTCAGCCAGTTTTTTTCGGGTTAACGAGTTAATTAATATTTTTGTGTGATTTTACCAGATAGCATCTGTTTTTAACAAAAAAGAGAAAATCTCTAAAGCAAGAGGAAAGTTAAAGAACTTTTCAGAGTGCAGTTAACCGGCAGATACCGAGAAAACATCTGAGAGAAGAACGAGCTGCTCAGATAATGAACACATGTTGTTAAAGGTCATGAGACACGAGCAGAACTGAATGTATGAAGTTCAGTGATTTTCTGCTCCAGTGTGAAGGAGACAGAAAGTTCTGAAAAGGTTTCCGTCCACAGAACAGGATGATTTCATACTTTTTACCAGCTGAGTGTCAAGTCCAGTTTTCTTTTTGTCGCAAACACGTACGTTTCTGAGCAGCGCTGCATTGATTTTATTGATCCAGTATGTTTTATTTTCCTCTTAGTCTCTGCTCGGTGGAAACACTGCCTGCAGTTCAACTGAAAACTCTGAAGTTTTTTGGTTGTGCAGAATTTTTTGGATTGTTACAGGATGTGTTTATTGCAAATGGTTTATTTACAGAGAATTTTAGTAGTAATAAAATGACTTTGGTGGAATATAGATTTGGTTAAGTATCCTGAGAGAACCACGCATAACGTGAGTAGTTTGAGGTTTCCTGGTGTCAGTAATTTATTGAAACATAACTTTCCTTTCAAAGTCGTCGATGGGTTTTGGAGTTCAGGGCATTAACAACATCATGTATGTCCTCCTGATTTTAACTCCGTGCTGCACGTCCCAGAGTCCAGCTGCAGCCGAGAGCCGCTGTGATTAAACAGCTGCAGGACAAAACAAATCACATCCGTAAGCAGAGCCGTGCACTTCGCTGCAGGTACATTTATCTGCACATAGCGATGCAGGCGTCTGACTGATGTTCACCGTACAGCAGCAACAGAAAACATGTCCATCTGCATGTAGCAGGAGAGGCTGAACGCACACATGCTGCTCTTCTTATCTGCTCCGACACACATGGAGGCTACTGAGCAGAGACAGGCAGGGCGTCTGCAGAAAAACCTTAAAAAGCATCAATTCCAGGCTCCTCAGGAGCTTATTAAAGCCTCAAATTCCACTTCCTGACATTAAACAAGGATAAAAAGGAAACAGGTTGTGATATCGGAGATGCTGGAACCATCAAATGTTTGTGTTTGACGTGACCTTTCATTCTGTCTACTGAGAAAAATATCTGAAAATTATAGAAATCTCAATAAATTCTGGTCCCTGGTAAATGCAGTTCATCATCCCTGCATGCTGCTGTTAAAATATGATAAAATATAAATGTAACGTGAAAATGTATCTGTGGCCAAAACAAAAAATGTAAAGTTTAAATCACAATTCTAGATGTTCACATGCTGATGTGTAGTCTGATGAATATTTTGAGGGAATAAATCAAAATTCTCTAAATATTTTTGTAGATTCTAACATGTTGACAGAATTCCTCGCTAGATTTTCTCAGTAAAATATGGCATACGAACTTTGTGACGTCCTAAATCTAAACCTTCCACAGATTTCTTTGTCAAAATGACACAGAAACATCCTACAAATGACATAAAAAATTTAATTTTTGGACTAATGATGGTTCAAATCGGCTCACATTGATACGCAAACTGAGTGAAAATTCACCATTTAAACATATTTTCAGGGGAAAAGGTTCCGTTTTTGTCCAACCTTCTTGAATATGATCAACAAAAAGAAAAATGATTTAAGAACAACCACACAGATGAAGCTCTGAGAAACAACTTTGGGCTTCACATTAAAACTCATACATTCTGCTTTCACAGAAATATGAATAAAATGAAATTAAACTGAGCTCGTGAAAGTGTACAAGTCATTGTGGCCAAAACCAAACCTGTTTATGATCAGTTTTACTCTCGAATGAACTGAATGTGTGCTGAAAAAACCAGCAGCTGACCTCGTGGTAATAAAGTCGGACTGCAGCTTCTTTTCACTGCCAGTTATTTTTTTCAGATGAGTTGTTCGGTTTTTAAAGTGACAGAAAATAGTGCCAATTGTCTATTTCCACATAAAAACCGTAAATCAATCAAATTCTGTTGCTCAGATGTGATCAGAATTCGGAGCCATTTAAAGAAGTTTATTTGAGCTTCAGTGAATAATAATAACGGCTATTCATGATTATTTTCTGACGGCCTGTTAAAGGAAATAACAGCTTGAATTGCACTGATAATGGAAATAGATGTGATTTAGTAAAGAAGTTTAACAACAGCTGAGCTCAAGATGAAGCAGACACGAAGTCCTTCTATCAGAAACCACGTCCACATATCCACAATGTGTGTTTACACCTAATATCAATCTGTTCCTGAATTTACAGCCTGTGACTGAACAGAGCTTCTGTCTTCTGTCACCTGGAAAACAACAAAACTCCGCTCAGCCTCATGAAGTTCACATGAATCTGCTTCAATGAGGGCTGCAGACAACCAGGACTTCACCTGGGATTATTTCCTCGATTAATCTCTCACATGTTTTGTGTTTAAAACGTCAGAGAATGTTTCCCAGAACCAGAGAAACTCCCTCAGATGTCCTGTTGGTCCAGTTTACAGGCTCAGAGGAAAGAAACCAGAAAGTATTCACATTTCAGAGGCAGCAATCACAGAGTTTAGACCCTTTTTGTTTCATTTTAACTGTGACTCAGGCTGATCAGTAAACTGTGAACGTGAAGCTGATTAATGAGAGCAGCTGATAAAAGCAGCAGCAGGTTCAAACTACAGTCCTTCCTGCACGTTTTAATCATTTACAGCTTCGTCTTGTCGGCTCGTCGTCAACACACGCTGCAGGTTACAAACACGGAACCTTCTTACCTGTTAGCGCCTCTTCCTCAAACGCAGCTCCGCACCGGGATCGGGACCGGGATCGGGACCGCTGCAGCCGGTAGTCCGGGAGAAGAGCGTGTGCGGCGGCGGGAGCTGCTCATGCAGCCGCGGAGGTGCTCAGCGGAGGGAGTGTTCGGTCCACAGGCGGGGGAGCTTTTGTGTCCGCTGCTCCTCCTCCTCCTCCTCCGTAAGGCGCTTTTCCTCCACCTGATCCCGCGTCATCAGCTAAACACCAGCTGGAGCTCCGAACCGCCTCCTGTTGCACCGAACCTCCTCCAGCTGCACCGAACC